TTTGCTTACCCTGTGCTCTTGGGTTCTATAGTATTTCTATAATTATGTAACAAGAATAGTGTTGCACTGTAATCTATCATATAGAGCTATATGTATGGAAAATTTTGATCAGTTTTTTAAGAAATGTATCCTGTTTGCAAAGGCACAATAAAGTTGCATCTTATAGACTATAGGCAATAAAGCTAACAATAAACCTTATTTAACACAAACCCTATTCATATTCTCTGTTCATTTGACTTTTGAAAAAATCTAGCATATCCAGTAGTTTCAGGGATTTCATTTTAACTTTAAAAATTCTGATATATTTAATTTATAAATTTCAGGCTGATATAATAGAGTTTTGGAAAACTGTAAGAAATGCTTTGTTAATATGTGTATTCCTATGTAAAACACATGGCTTCTCCTGTGTATATTTTTAAAGATTAAAGAAATGCACATTGTAAAAGTGTTTTGTGGAACCGGTCTGTATAAATGTGCCAGGTGACAAAGATATGAGGGAGGGAGTATGGATGGAGGTGCCAATTGTGAAAAGAGAAAATTGCTATTTGTATTTGCTAAGGATCTGCCTGTAAAGAATTTTAAGAAAATGCCTTTGTCACCATTTTATTCTGTTATACTCTGCCACCAACAATGTGAGAAGAGGAGGTGACTGAGCACCATCAGGGTTTCTAAGTCAGGGATTGTGTTAGTGTTTCTGGGCGGCTGCCCCCTCATGCCCATCCTGTGCACAGCCAGGCCCCTTACCTGTGCAATGACCAGAAGGGTAGTGAGTTTATGACTGGCAAGAAGAGCTGCAAATCAGGCTGCTGGTGGGGTGGGGCATGTGCACTCAGCATTTCCAGGGAGGGACAGAGGCTGAATTGCCTATCCTACTCAATGACAAGCTAGGGTGGTAGGGACCAAGAATTTATTTTTGCTCCTTTTGTATATAGTTTTAGAGAGAAACTTGGTCTTATCTGAGATTTTAAAATGTTTCCTGCCTGTGGAAACCTCAAAGAGGCCTGGCACCACCTTTTCCTGCAGCGTTTGGGCTCTCCAGGACTCAAAGTGTGGTCCATGGGTCAGCAGCAACAGTATCACGTGGGGGTTTGTGAGAAACGCAGAATCTCAGGCCCCAGACCTACTGAATCAAAATCTGTGTGGTCATAAGAGAACTGGCTTCCCTTACAAGGAGCCTCATAGAGGCTCCCTATTTTATAAGGTTAATGTATCCTTCCTCTTAAATGTGGCAGGTAGAGATCATACATAACAGAATTTATCCTTTTCTTGATAACTAAGTCCTGACTCATAAAGAAAAGTTAAATTTAGTGTGCTTTGTACTCTATTCTAGTTATTTTTAAAAATCAGTGCATTTCTTTTTAAGCATCCAGCTAATTGAGGAAATGTTGTATTCGCAGCATGGTAAGATGTGTTTCCACACCCTCCTCAGCAAAACAGGGGAAGGTGAACACCAAAAACGTAAAATAATAGATTTTTGCAATGACAAAATAAGGACTAAAAGTGCACCTTTAAACAAAACTGTAGCTTGATGCCTCTCATCCCCCCAGGTAAAGAAACTTGATGATAAACAATATCCCAGCAAGCAGAAGACAGGCTTTCCTAACTTTCTCTTTCCCCTTCAGCACCCAGTAAGAAATAAATTTAATATCATAACCTTGTATACATGAAGTTTATAGTCCTGAAACAAGTTTTAAAAAAACAATATTTTATGCTTACAAATGTGTGATACACTCTATTTTTAATTCTCGTCAAGACTGTAATGGGCCAGTTTTATAAAACTTGCGTGAAGAGACAATAATGCAATGATCCACATGTTCACAAAACCACTTGGAAATCTCAAGTGGTTTTTCATATATGATGGAAAGTACTTCCCCACACACACACAAATTTTCCTTGTAGCAGAGGAATTTCAGACACTTGTTTTCTCTTGGACCACATAATTTAAAAAGTACCTTTGGTTTTGAGATGCCTATTGATTTTTAGAGAGTTTTAAAATGTTTCATTCACCAGATTTTAAAATTAAAAACAGGACTATAACATACATATTCGGGGTAGGAGAGCAGTGAAGAGCTCAGGCTATAGGGTTTGATCTGGGTCCAAATCTTGATCCCCCAATCCCACCAGATTCTCTGTGTGTGATGATCTTAGGCAAGTAATGGAAACTGCCTTCATTTCCTCATCTGTAAAGTAGAATGATAATAGTTCCTGCTTCATAGTTTTAATGAGACCTAAATGAGATACTGGCCCATGGTGAATGCTAAATAACTGGTAGCTATTATTAGGTCAGTGAAACATAAGACAAGTGACATTTCCATTTTTCAGTCAGCTAAAGGGGAACAGAAGAGGGGAATTGGTAGCTGGCTTGCAGAGGTGAGCTGTCTGAAGGGATAGAGGGGGCTTCAGTAGGTGCTGAGATGGCAGAATGACACCACATTCTTTTCCGTCTCTGCCCAGCCTTCTCCAGCTGCCCGGAGCATCCTCGTGGAATGGATGGCCATAGCCATCAACAGCAGAGCAGGTGGTGGCACTCAGGATTCAGGGCAGCTAAGGGGAACTTCAAATGACACAGTGCCATCAAGGATGGCGTCTGTCTGGGCCTGAGCTTTTGTGAGATCACGTATGAAGGATCACCCTCCTGCACACTGGTGCTGAGACCCCTGGGTATGTGTAACGACATACATCCATCAGGAAGGATTACTGTCTACCCTTTTTGGGGGGAATAGAAATGGGAAGAATCAGACACGTGCCTGCGTTTGGAGTGTAATCGATATGACCCAGTTTTGAAAACTCAGTCCAAGTTCATTTTTGCAGCGTACGTTTATTGTTTGTTTACCATGTTCCAGGAGCTGCTCTAGGCAATTAAAAAAAAATACATAAACTTGTTGTAATGGTCTCTTTGAGGTAGGGACTGTTACTAATATTGCCCCCATTTTACAAGTAGGGAAACTGAGTTATCAAGACATTAAGTCACTTGCCAGAGAACACACAATAAGTCGCAGAGCCAAGAGACTGGTTTAGAGCCTCTGCACTTAACCACCGTGCTATTGCGGCCTTTTGTTCTCTCTGGTGGAGAAACACAGCTCACGCCTGCTTTTAGGAGCACGTTAGGTGGTGCCTGCCCCAGGTAGTCACAAAACTGTGTACAGAGAGGATTTGCACACAGGCCCAGGGCAGGAGGAGGGGAAGCTTCAGCTGGTAGAAAAGGGAGACTTCTTGGCCTGCTGGTGAAGATTCACAGGGGATTTCCAAGTGGGCTCTTTAGAAAGTTTAACAGCAGGAGAAGGAAATGACAAATTTCTCTCTCTGGCTTTTTTCTTATACAAATAGGACATGTTTTTGTTAAATAAATGAATATGTGTTAAATGGACCACTTTGAGGCTGGATCCCAACCAACCAATACCAAGTTTACAGTATAATAAAGGAATCATTTCTCTACTTCCTGTTTTTCAGGGTAAAAAAAAAAAATGTGTTGTGGACATCTTCCACATAAAAGATTTGTAGAACCAATGCTTCAGGCTAGCCAATTAGCAAATGAAATATTGTTGGGCCTGAGGCTGGCAGCTTTGGATTGTGGGGTGCTCCTGCATGTGCAGTACCAACCGGTTGGATGCCGTGGTCACCAGTGACCCCTATGCCTAAATCCACACCTTTAGTATGCTTTAGGCCTGCACAGGAGGGGCATAGGAAATTTCTCAGATTTCCCTTCTGCTTTCCCATACAAGGTAGTTGTCCTTCTTGATTTCTGTTCTTTAAAAGTATCTTGGTTTTATAAATTAAAGTAGTGGAAGGGAGGGGTGCGGTTTCTCAGGCCTGTAATCCTAGCACTCTGGGAGGCCGAGGCGGGAGGATCGTTTGAGCTCAGGAGTTCGAGACCAGCCTGAGCAAGAGCGAGACCCCGTTTCTACTAAAAATAGAAAGAAATTGGCTGGACAGCTAAAAATATACAGAAAAAAAAAAATTAGCAAGGCATGGTGGCGCATGCCTGTAGTCCCAGCTACTCGGGAGGCTGAGGCAGGAGGATTGCTTGACCCCAGGAGTTTGAGGTTGCTGTGAGCTAGGCTGACGCCACGGCACTCTAGCCCGAGCAACAGAGCGAGACTTTGTCTCAAAAAAAATTAAAAATAAAAAAAATGAAGTGTAGTGGAAGGCAGGCTTCTGGAGGGCTGACAAAGTTCTGTTTTTCACATGCTGGTTATATGGGAGTGTTTGCTCTCTGATGCCATCAAGCTGTACACATAGCAACTTGTGCACTTTTCACTATGTATATTTTACCTCAACAAGATGAAGAGTTTGCGATTTATTATGAGAGAAGTATAATCTCATCTGTTACCAAGAAGGAAAAAAAGGAAGGAAGGTGATGCCGGAAGAGGCTAATCTGTTTTGGTTAATGTGAAAATGGGGGCATCCAGGGTGAAGGTGAGGACTGGCCCAATAATTTCACTTTTTGGTATTTATCCTAAAGAAACAAAGATGTGTGCAAAATTTTAGTGGTGTTATTATAGTAGTAAAAATTGGAAACAAATGCCACGTAATAGTTAAATAAATGATGGAACAACCAAAAATGGAATGCGATTTAGCCATTAAAAAGGATGCTATAAATGTTTATTCATTAAAGCCACTTATAAAAGCATAGTACAGTCCCGTTTTAAAAAACAAGGCACATATTTTATATATATATGCATAGAAAATACCCAGGAAGAATGGACACCATGATATTAATAGTGGATTACACCTGAGGTACAGAATTACAGGCGATTCTTATTTCCTTATTTATCTAAGTTTTTTTCTCTCAACTAGCAGGCTTCACTTGTACAATACTGTAAGAGAGGAAGTGTGCATTGGGAGCAGCAGTTGTGGCTTTGGCCTCCTCACGGGAGTCTGGTCTGCCTCATTCTCACATCTGGTTGAGCGGAGGCCACAGCTGTGCCGGCAGCTCCCCAATAATTCTATCATTACAAAATGTAAAAAGTCATCAGTGATCCCAGGAGCATGTTCAAATCTGGTATCTCAAATTTAGAGATCCGAGAAGACCTCTGTTCAACTTTACTGATGCTCAAGGTGTGTTTGTAAAGGGATGGCCTCTCCTCTTTCACAGGTCCCTCTGCAACGCAAGGCCTGGGAGAGCAACCTTGCCTAAATGGAGGGGTTCATTTTACAGGATTCGGTTCACCTCTACACTTTATTTTAGGAATTTGTACTTTCTATGAAATTTCACGCTTGATTATTTCACACTTGATGTTGTTCATCTACATTATAGAACTCTGCCAAGGGCAGAAGTTCTCTTGTTTTATTTCATTATCCCAAGGCTACAGTACAGTAATGGGTACAGTAATGGGTATATCATAGGTGCTCAAGAAATACTTGTTCCTTTGTGGTTTGAGACCCTTCCTCCACCCTGCCCCAGCCTCTCAACAGAGGCCTGGAAAGAAAGACCTGAACGGTGTAGAGGAAAGAGCCCTGAGCTGGGAAGTAAGGTTCCTCTGGCTCCAACCTTGACTTGCCGTGTGGCTCTGATCAAGCTGCTCCCGTCTCTGGTCTTCAGCCTCCTCCTTTGTGAAAGCGCAGGAAAGAGGTTCCTCCAGCGTTGTCAGAATGAGTCTGAGAACACAGCTCTCCAGTCTGGCCTGCGCCTTTCCGCCTTTTACCCCAATATGTGTGTACAATGATATTGTGCCCCTTGCAGTGCACCGTAAATGTTACATGGTTTTGTTTTGCATCAGGCACATAAAGAAAAATCAACCCTTCTCACCCCACCCCTACTACAGTAATAATCATGAGAATGAATACATAAGGAAAACTGGAAAAAATTAAAGGGAAAGACGTGCTCCCTTCATAATGCGAGATCTCAGTTTGAAGTCATGTAGTGGCTGTCGCACAGGGTTAGACATATCTCTCTGCAGGGCTTGGCTTGCCTCCCGGCCTGACCAAGGGCCTGAAAGAGAAGCAGGCAACCGTAGATGCAGTGGGGGACCTTCCATCCCCTCTGTGCAGCATCCATCTGTGTCTATCCCCCAACCTCCAGCCTTTGAAGGGTCTGAGAACCTGTCCCTGGGGCAGCAGCATGGGACTGAGTGAATGACCTCAGGAACCCTGCTGAGGGCCTTCCTGGCACCATCTGGTTTAATCATCACAGCAACCTTAGCAGGTAGGCACTGGGCTTGAGAGGTTAGAGAACTTGCCCAAGGTCACACAACTAGGTGGCTGAACCAAGATCTGAACAGAGTCAGTCTAGCTTCTTGGAGCCTTTATCGGGGTACCCCAGGAGGTGAGAGAATGAGACTGAAAAGTCATTGGCTGATCTGATTCTCAGCCCTGGAGGATCACAGGGAGAGAGGAGGATGAGAGCAAATCACCACTGTCAACCAAGTAGAGCTGCTTTGTCTACGTCCCTTCGAAAACACAAACCTGATGCTATGCTAAAAATGTGTGTGTCAATTCAGTACTGGGCTAACACCTCCTAAACGGGCTAATTCATCATGAGTGCCATGTCTACACTCAGTCTTCCAAAACCTCTCTGTGAAAGCTGAATTGCCCACCATCATCACTGAGTATATCAACTCCCGGGTGTGTGAATTCCTCAGATGTGTTTAACCTGCAAAGCTTTGTATTTTAAGACAAGCTTTTATTCTCAGTTATTGATCTCAAAATGAGAGTTTTCAGGAAACAGAGATAAGAGATGATTCTCTTGCAAAAACTCCCAACTGCATCCCAGGTAATGAAAATGCTAAAAATTGGCTGGGCGCGGTGGCTCACGCCTGTAATCCTAGCACTCTGGGAAGCCGAGGTGGGAGGATTGTTTGAGCTCAGGAGTTTGAGACCAGCTTAAGCAAGAGCGAGACTTCGTCTCTACTAAAAAAAAATAGAAAGAAATTATCTGGACAACTAAAAATATATAGAAAAAATTAGCCAGGAGTGGTGGCTCATGCCTGTAGTCCCAGCTACTTGGGAGGCTGAGGCAGGAGGATCGCTTGAGTCCAGGAGTTTGAGGTTCCTGTGAGCTAGGCTGACGCCACGGCACTCACTCTAGCCAGGGCAACAGAGTGAGACTCTGTCTCAAAAGAAAAAAGAAAATGCTAAAAATCTTGTCTATTATGTGTCTATTTATTATTTTTGAGACAAGAGTCTCACTCCGTCGCCCTGGGTAGAGTGCAGTGGCATCATCATAGCTCACTGCAAACCCAACTCCTGGGCTCCACTAATCCTCCTGCCTCAGCCTCCCAAGTAGCTGGGACTACAGGGGCGCGCCACCACGCTGGCTAATTTTTCTATTTTTTGTGGAGATAGGGTCTTGCTCTTGCTCAGGCTGGTGTCAAACTCCTGAGCTCAAGTGATTTTCCCACCTCGGTCTCCCAGAGTGCTAGGATCACAGATGTGAGCCACTGTACCGGGCCCTTCTCTATTTTTAAAGAGTCTTTATCCCCTTGGTATAGCAACTATAATATAACGCAAACCCCCGATGTAAAATTTGAAATATTTTCATCTACTGAAAGGGACTGGTGTATATACTTGGTTATCTTTAACATCCTCATCCTAGCCCCTGGCCATGGGAAGGAACCCTAGGCTTTGGATGGAAGTTGCAGCTCTGCTCCTTGCTAGCAGTGTGGCACTGGACAAATCACTAAATGTTCTAAGCCTCAGTTTGTTTATCTGTAAAATGGAGATCATAATAATTACTTTAAAGGTTGTTATGAAACTTGAAATAAAAAAATATGTATATATAAAGCAAGTAACTGGTACACTATAGTCTTTTACCAAATGGTTATTTATTATTGATAATCCGAATTTAATTGTGCCTTTGCCACTTTAGGTAGGTTTCCTAATTTCTGAGCCTGTGATCTGTGAAAAGGGTCGGTACTATCTGCCACAGGAGGTTGCTGTGAGGATTAAGAGAGATCCCAGGTATAACCCTTATCATGGTGCCTGCCCTAAGGCAGGAGCTTGTTAGATGCTACCACAGGGCTGCCTCAGCCCAAGGGTAAAGGAAAGAGGAGGTGGAGGCTTCTCTTAACAGACAGCGTGGGTCTTGTTCCTGATCACTTCAGAATGATCAGGGGCTGGAATTGGATGGGGCAGTCGCTTGCCTACCACATAGCTAATTGCCCCTGCCTCTGCTTCCCCTTTTTCCTACTCCAGTCCTTGGCAGCAAATCAAGGCCCTACATGGAGACAGGAAATTAGGAACTGAGGCCACTATCTATGTGGTTCAGGTGATATAAGATTGGCTCTCCCTCAAAAAACTAGACCAGCCAAGTAGGAAAAAAAATGGTTTTCGTAAGAAAACAACAAAACCCATGCGGAATCATCCAAATAAAGAGGACCTCAGGTCCTTTGAAGAGATAGGATGAGTTGGGAGAATCCTCAGATGGGATTTTTGTTGCTTAACCAAGTAAGACTGAGATTTACTGAAGTCACATTGCCTGGGCCTCCATTTTCTCAAGAATGCAGGTGGCATTGCCAACCTTCTGCCTCTCTTTGTTCGTGGACTAGCTGAGCCCCTGCCCCCAGGACTCCACTGCCAACACCTCTCTCTTGGAAAAGTTCCCACCATCTGCTGCTGGGGAAGCCAGGACCCCGGCCCAGGGCTGCCCAGGGTGGGCAGGCCCAGAGTTTAAAAGAGACTCACCTGGGACACTTGCAAACACGTCTTCTGGTCCCTGGATAATGAAAAAGAAGGGAAAAAATGAGCGTCCCCCCACACCAATAGTCCCCAAATACGGTTTCTCCCTTTTCCTATCTCTTTGAGGATTATTAACTCGAGAGCCCCAGTGAGGGCTTCTTTTCCATCCCTCTTCTCAGGCTTCAATTTCAACAACATTGCAACTACAGATGCGGCTGAACGTGGAGAACCTGCAGACCTGAGCTGGCACTGCAGGGGCCCCAAAGCGGGGTGGGCGGTTCGCGGGGAAGGGGCCCAGGGCAAAGCTCAAACCCGTTGCGGTTCGACCTCGCCTTTCTGGGCGTGAGGCCCAGGACCACAGCGGCCCCCTCCCGGCGGGCGTCTGTTTGTCCAGAGCTGTGCGCTCGCTGCTGGCGGAAAGGGGCTCTCCCGCGTTCCATCCCCAGGGAAGAAACGGGCTGTGCCTGTGCCTGCAGTGCGGCTCCGGAGTCCCAGAAATCTCAACCCCATCTCCCCGCAAGGTCTGCCAAGGCGAGCAGCGGGATCGGGGCGAACTCCTCCCCGCTGTGATTCCTCAGGACTTACTGTGGTTGTAGATAACCGTGACGGCCAGTGACAGCAGAAGGACCCCGCAGGCCCCGGCCAAGGGCGCCCAGATGTAGACATCACAGGCGAAGTCCAGCCCCCTCGTGTCCACTGACGACATCGAAGACGCCGACATTAGTAGCAGGCGTGGGACCCCTACCCCACCCCGCCGTCGCAGGCACGTCTCTCCGCCCCGTGTCTCAGTTTCCCCGCCACTTAGCCCTTGGCTCTACCTCCAGTATCAGGGCTGCCCCTGGCAGGGGCTCTCCTCACGGTCCGTGCCGCCCCTGGCCTGGCCTGGCCCCGCCGCCCGCCTTACCTGAGCCGCCCGGCACGGGCCGGCACACTTCTGGGCGCAGGGACCTGGGCTGCGACGTGGCGGTGGGTGCCGGCGTCGGCGGTCGCGGCGCTGGCGTCGTGGTGGGCTTCGCTGCAGAAGCAACAGAGCGTGGTCCGGTGCCAGGCTGGGGTTGCGACGTGCCCCTCCCCCAACCCCAGCCCACGCGCCTTTACCCCAGGGGTGGGGACCCCGGGTGTGAGCGGACTCCTTCCCGCGGGCCGCCGTGGCCTGCGTTCCCCGCCCAGCCCAGCGCACGCAGCACTGCCCACCGGAGCGCAGGAGCCCGCCGCCCTCCACCCGACCTCGCTCCAGGGCTAACCCAGCCACCCTGTGAACTCGGCTTGACATCCGCATTTTACTGACGAGCAAACCGAGGCGCAGAGAATTTAAGTAATTTGCCCACAACCACAAATTATTCAAGTAATTTGCTTGTGTGGACAAGCACCCGAACTCGAGCCCAGATCGGCCGGACATAAAAAGCCATCTTCAGTCCCTACTCAGCTGCACCTTAGCCTCAGTTTGCTCGTCTGTGAAATGGGAACAGTATCTAAGTAGCCTCCGTGTGCGCTAAGAGGCTTGAAATTGGGGCGTCGGTGCACGTTGAGGTGACCCCAAGCCCCACGCGGCGAGGTGCCGCGCCCCGCGCCCGGACCTGGCAGGAAGACCGGCACGAAGGTGCTGAAATGAAGGATCGAGTTGATCAGGACCGAGCAGAAGTAGTAGCCTTCGTCCTTCTCGCGGAAGCGGTTCAGGGTAAGGCTGAAAGAGCCGTCCGGGTTCTTCTTGGCCGAGAACTGCTGGGTGTCCAGCCCCTCGGCCGGCTTGACCCGGTTATGGGTAACGTACAGGAGGAAGGTGGGGCTCGCGGCGGGGCCGCGCGGCTGGTAGAGCCACGAGCAGCCTGTCCCCGAGCTGGGCAGCAGCACCTCGCACTTCAGCTCCACTGGCTCGCCCAGACTCCAGGTCCTACCCAGCGGCGACACCCGAAACTCCCTCGGCTGGAGAGCCGCGACGGCATCTGCGGGCGGCAGGCAGCGAGGCTGAGCCGGAGTCCCGCGCCCCACGCCCGCCCCGCCCGCTGCCTCCCCGGGCCGCGAACTCACGGAGCAGCAAGGCCAGCGGCAGGAGCAAGGCGGTCACCGGCGCGGCCATGGCGCGCTCCGCGAGGCGCGCTCAGCTCGGACGCCAGGGCAGGCGCGCAGGAGCCGGTGGGGCGCAGAGGGCGGGCGGGCGCGGTGGGGGGAGTTGCGTCCTTCGGCCCGGCCTCGGAGGCTGATTTCTCATTTGAAGGATGTGATGTCACCCGAAGCCCCCGCCGAGGAGGATCTGGAAGAGTCACCCTCCTTTTCGCGGTTGTCGCCTTCCAGCCCTGTGAGGGTGCTGAGATCTGGGCAGCGTTGCCGAGCAGCGGGGGGCAGTTGAAAACTTTAGGTCTGGGGATGAGGCGAAGGGCTTGGCAATGGCCCTTGGAAACGGCTCTCTTGTGGGAATGGCAGAGACAGAGGATAAAGGGAGATTAAAGATTTCAAGAAGTGAGGGTGAGAGCGGGCAGAAAAGGAGAGGTGTGTCCCTTCCTTTGCCCTCACCAAAGTGGCTCTTGCACTGTCACCTTGGAGCTTTTTGTCTGCAAAATGGGCGTTGAGGGCTGAAAAGGAAGAGAGGAGTTAGTGACCTGCTCACTTCTCAGGAACTCGGGCAGGGTTCGAGTGTTCACCGACGAAGGGCCTTCTCCCTTCCCCCAGGAGATTCCGTAGCGGTCAGCAGCAGCCAAGCCTTGGGTAGCGCTCGCGGTGACCTGCTGACCACACCCTGTGGGGCTTTCTCTCGGTGGCTAAACTCACTACACAGACTCGTCGCTCCTTGGGGCCATTGCAACAGCCTCCACAGCAGTCTCTCTCCTGACCAGTCCTCCAGCCATCTTGCCATGAAAATCATTCTCATAAAGGGCATTGACAGTGTCACTCCTGCAGCCTCCCATGACATGCATTGCTGGATGGAAACTCGATCCTCTGGCTTAGTTTACCAGACTTTGGGTGCTGGCTCCTCCCAGCCTCTGCCCCAGCCTCCTGCTTCTGCCTTTCCCGTGCACCTGCAGCTGCATCCTCACAGGCTTGAAGTTATCTAAACCCTGTGCTTTCAGGCCCTTGCATTGGCTGTCCCCTTGCCTGGAATGCCGGTCTGTTTAAGCCCTAGAACCAGCTCCTGTGCTGTCTGACTTGGACCCGAGTTCTCTCATCCCCAGCTTTCTGGGTGTTCTGCAGGGATGTGTGTGTGACCTGGGTGAATACTTGGGTGGAGGCAGTTTTCCCTTTTCCATTCCTGGTGCAACACATATATCAGTATGTCCCTTCATTTTTTTTTTTTTTAAGAGATGAAGTCTTGATATGTTGATCAGACTGGCCTTGAACTCAGGACCTCAAGCAGTCCTCCTGCTCAGCCTCCTGAGTAGCTGGGGTTACAGGGGTGCCCTTCTGTTTTGTCTGTTCCTGTCCTGAAACCTTCCAGACCCAGTGGTATGACTTCCTCCCATTTTTTCAGGGAAAAAAAGGGAGGGGAAAAATGCCTTCCTCCTATTCATTCAAAGTCTTTTCACTTTGAATCCCATGGTGGGTGTACCTCACACTGCTGCTTGATTCTACAAGACACCTGGCATTCTCTTTCCACATGTCTGCCCCACATGTAAATTCTGCTGGGCAAGGACTGTGTCCCAGACTTCGTAATGTGTCCCCCGTCCCCAGATGTTACATCACTGCATGGGCTGAACTATATTTGCTGAACTGCACTCCCTTCGTGGGGTCTAAACTTAAGTGCTGGATGGGCTTTTAAAAATAATTACTTTGATTTCTATGTCCCTCCATCTTAAAACACCCAAGGTGCTTATTCTAACATGGAGCACGTAACATTTTATGTTTAGAAATGTTTTTAAAAGTGACAAGAGAACAATATATTCTCACAAAACTTCAGACAGTACAAAAATGAACGCACAGAAATTCTGTTTCAATTCTCCTCACCATCATCTACTTTCCAGAGAAAACCACTGTTACAGTTGAGTGTGTTCTGAGATATCATCTGTGCACAAACAGATGTTTATACATTGTTTTGGACACATGAGATTGTATTCTGCATATATTTTTTGCAACCTACCTTTCTTATTTAACAGTAGAAGAAGAGAAGCTTGATCAGGTGTAGATCCACCCCATTCTTATAAATGAGTGCATTTTATATGGGTGTTCCGTAATTTAGTTCTCTTACTCATGGACATTTAGGCAGTTTCTCATTATTGCAGTTACTAGCAAGGCTGTGGTAGATACACTGTACTTGTACCACTGAGGACTTGTGCCAATTCATGTGGCATTTTCAAATGCAAGATGAGTGAGTTGGGGAAGGAGAAACTTTTGCAATGATGATTATGCATATAAATGTATGTGTGTGTGTGTTTGCATGCATGTGCATGTATGTATGTGTGTATGGATGTGTGTCCCTGGCTGTGTAGACACAGTGCTGTCCCTTAACTCACATGAATAAGGGGGACAAGGAAACAGTCAAGTCCAGACAGGCCACCAACACGACAATCCTCGCTTTATATGGCAGTTTCCCATTTTGCTCGGTTGCCACTCGTACTGCAGGAGGAGTGTCGTGTGGCCCTGCTGGCCAAAGGCTACGATCAGGAGGGTGGTAAAAAGCATGGCTAGACATGAAAGTGTACCTTGCCAGGTGGAGGAAGCATTAGAGGTGGCCAGAGTCAACCTCCCAATATTTGGATCTTGGGAACTAAGCCCCTAAATATGATGATGGCCAGATTTTGGGGTGTACTGCTTGAAAATAGAGTAGTTCCATCTCAGTCTCCCGGAAGTGAGCTGTAGCTGGCTTGGGGGCCTTCCAGTCTTGCAGCTAAAAAAGCATCAGCCATAAGGGTAGCAGCCCCTTTGAACAGAGCTCCATGGGGGCAGAGGGGGAAGGCAAGGCAACACGTCAAACCCACCAAGGAGGCTTTGTGACCCCAATGATATTTTTCGCAGAATGTGGTGGATTCTCGATGTAACCACAACGACATCCGCCCTGCAGCAGGGAGAAGAGCAGATGCGATTGCACGAATCTGGAGATGCTTGCTTTTTGTAGACCAGGTGTGCAGAGGGCTGGGTTGGGCCTACCCATCACTGCCAGGTGAGCTCCCACACCCCACATTGCGGCATTCACTCAGGATGGCGTGAAGAAATGGGAATGACTGCGCTCCATTAAGCAAGCCCCTTATTTTAAAAAATGTCCACAGAGAGATAGGGTAAGATCGTAACTGGTTTCTATGCTGAACTTAAACAGGTCTTTGTTTTTCTCAAGGTGTTTGTTCTTAAAACACGGAAATGAAATAATTCTGATTTACATTAATTAAAGACATTCAAAATGCATAACTGGGCAGGGTAATGTTCTCAGGGTTCTGTGCCATAGCTCCTACGACACAGACTACAGGGACAACCTGAAATCATGGCTGTGGAGTTGCCTCCTGAACCCTTTGCCAGTTCAGTCAATGGCGATGTTACTGGTCTCCTTGGAAGGAGTGAAAGGAGTTAGCTTGTTTGGGGCTAGAAAGGCCATTGAAACTCTAGAGTTATCAGGGCTTTGCTTCACCTCAATCACAAATACCTGTCAAGTCTACCTCACTTCTGCCATTCTTACTTTCCTCCACCCCAGGATGCCCAGGTTCATCTAGGCTGCTGTCACCTCTTACCTGGACTTTTGCAATGGTCCCCAAACTGGTCACCTTATTTCTGTTGCGGTCCCTTCCAGTGAAAATCTTGCTGTGCCAACCCCCTGCTTCAACCCACAAGGGCTTCCCATGGTCCCTAGGAGCTCACCTTCTCCACTGCTCCTGGGCTCAGTGCTTCTCTTGTTTTTCAAACAGGCCCTACTCCTTTACGTCTCAAGGCCACTGAACATGCTGTCCCTGACATGCATGCTGTCCCATGTTCCCAGCTCTGCTCTCTACTTAGCAAACTCCTCTTCCTTGAGAGCTCAAGTATCTCCTTCCTGTGAGGCTCAGCCCCTGCCCACCTCTCACTCCCAGGCAGTAAGGACCACATCTTGCTCTGTGTCACCTGGACCTTGGGTATCCCTGGAGCAGAGTGGTTTGTTTGCTTGTCCAGCCTCACTACCAGACCGTTGGTCCCTTGTGGAAAAAACTTTGTTTCACTCATGTTTATACCAGCGTGTCAAACAGGGAAGCTTGGCACACACTTGGTCCTCAACAGACACTTGTTTAGTAAAAGCTAAAAGAAGGCAGAAGTGGGGTATAGCAGACCAGAGGAGGCAGAGATGAGGTAAGAGTTATCAGGAAAGGCTTTACATGTAGTTGGGTTTAGAAGATAAGGGAAGAAATTAGGAGAGAGGTTGGTTAGAAGGAGGCATTTGATTTCTGGTCAAGATTGTGCCGATACCATGCTTTAACCCATAGTCATGGTACAGTTCAAAATAGAATAAGGAGGAAGGGGAGAAGGCAGGTGCACTCAAAAGCAATGTAAACATCTTCAAGGATGTAGTGGTGGAGCCAGGGCTCGAGTCAGAGGCTGGTTTACTGGGTCTGTTCTTGAGCAGCCCATTCTTGGGTCTGGGTCTTGAGAGTCTGTTCTTAGTGCAGAGACACCAAGAATTTGACTCCTTCAGCTAGCAGGGTCTCAACGTGCTTCACCTGTGGAAGGAGGCTGGCGCTAGGCTCTGCTTGAAATAGGGGATTGGATCTGGATTTCTCTTTGTCAAAAGGCTGGAGCCCAGAGCCACTAGGGTAAGGCCTGGTTCTGACTAGGAACCCTGGAAAGTCAGAGACTATTAAAAATACCAAGAAAGGAGAGAGTAAAGAGAGGAAGAGATTTTTAAAAATTCCTATCAAGACAACTCTATGCATACACTCAAAATTCAAAGCATACATTAGACAGACTCAACAATTGGAATATGAATTCACTCCTGAAGAGATGTAAATTATTGCACGATCTGAAAAGAGTTTAAAATGAAGAGAATAGGAAAGTGTAGAAAATTCAGAAATTAAATAAGAAAAGTTGAAGATGATAAGTGCTGAGCACACTGGAAATGAATTTCATATCTTCTAGAAGTTTATATCTTCTAGATATAAACTAGGATATGCTCTAGGTTGGACATAGTTGAAGGGATAATTAGTGAATTGGAAGCTAGCATTGGGGAATTCA